GGCACGGCCAAAACCCAAGAGAACGACGACTAATGGGATCCCTCCTCCTATTCGGTGTCGCGCTTGTAAAGAGACGGATATACCCCTTCTTATGGGAGGACGTAAGTGGCGTCTACTGTGGTCTCTAGCAGCGAGGTGATTGACATATAATACTCGGTTAGGGATTTGCCGAAAATGTTTGGATGGCGGGAGACTTGGCGAGGCTATCCCTGAACTCGCGAACGGGTCCGTCCAGAGTAGTTCGTCTAGCTCTACACTCGGGAATTAAATAACTTTGCAATGTCGAGAATTGCACGATCACTCGACCTTTATTCTCTACAGACCGTTTGATCAGACTGGGTCGGTGTAGCTGCGTAAGTACTGTACGTTTATTGCTCGAATAATTTTCAATTCCTGTCTAGAGGCCTCAGGAGTTTCTCCCCTTTCAATGTAATCCAGCTAGATAAATACCCCTATTATAATTGAATTGTCGTCAAATGAATTACGATGCGTTATACTTAGTAGAAAGGCGGCAGCAGCTTGCGACTTCCCCAATCGGTTGCGCCACAAAGCTTTCGGTTTACAAGCGCCAAAAATATGAAACCTTCTCTTACTTTTTACGTTCACCACCATGGCTGCCACCGCCGGCTCCTCGTCCTCAGCACAAACGAGTCTGCCCCTGGGAAAGTATCTGGCCTCTACCGGTACGTCTGTATATTCCATAATTAGGCTGCAGTCAATGTGAGATTGCTTCAACTGATGTGGTGCAGCAAGATAAGAAAACTCGGGATAAAGCCATCAAGAATCTTACTACCTTTCTATCCCAATCCGCTGGCAATAAGGACACCAATGGAGCACCATTGTCGAAGAGTGAGATGGCGAAGCTTTGGAAAGGGATTTTCTACTGTACGTCCGTGGTTTTTAACTCAAAGTGGTCCTTCAGACTAATAGTTTTTTTTTCTCGGATGCATAATAGGCTTCTGGATGTCAGACAAACCCCTCGTCCAACAAGCTCTAGCGACTGAAATTGCTGAAATTCTCCTCGTTATTCCGAATACTGCTGCTTCGTTGACGTTCTTAAGAGGATTTTGGGAGGCGACTGTCCGTGAGTGGGCTGGTATTGATCGGTTAAGGTATGTCCTCTATACCTCAAGCAACAAAAAGGAGTACTTACCGTTTTATGAAGAATTGACAAGTACTATATGTTCATCCGTCGGTTTACAAATGCCTCGTTCCGATTGTTGCAAAGAGAGAGTTGGGATAACACACTCGTTGGCGAGTACAACTCGATTTTGACAGACCTTGGCGGCCCACTTTGGTGAGTAACATCACGTCGCATTCTATCATTGTATTCATCCTTTCCCATACAGTCCCGAAGACGTCAAAGTTCCATCTAGTCTTCCCTACCATCTCGCAGACATCTACCTCGAAGAGCTCGACAAAGCCCTCACTCAATCACCATCCTCTGACTCCTCTGACCCTCCTACACCCCCAGCCCCGCTCACGACCCTCCTTGATCCGTTCATCTCCCTCGCTGCACGCACACCCGCAAAATTAACCGTTCAGCGTATCGAGTCTGCCCTTCTAGAGCCCCTCTTCGACGCTCTGGACTGTGCTCTCCCGTCAAAATCTCAGACGGAAAAATCTGACGATGAGAATGCTGATGGTGAGGAGGAAGAGGAAAATAACACGCGAAGTCGGAAACGTCCTCGTCTCGCCGAGGATCCCGAATTCCCGAACATTCTCGCTCACTCCCTCTTGGCGAAGGAAGGAGGAGACGAGGCGTCGACTGTGGCACAGCTCAAGAAAGTGCTATTGAAACGGCTGTTCGAGGTTGCGAGTGAGGACAAGACGCGGGATGCCAATCGAAGGAAGATGTACAAATTCTGGAAGGCGAGGGCGGACGATGTCGACGAGGCCGAGTGATTAGTGTTTTCTGTTGTTTGCCGTGTTGTTTTGCAATGATATGCCGTCACACTTCTCTCTTCGCCGCAGTGCAAGATTTCATACAGGTACCCGGTCAATTTCATTCCGTAAGAGTACTAAGCTATGCTAAGCTGTTAAGCGTATGATACGATGGGTAATATGGTAAAATACACAGTGAAGACGTGAAGAGTCCTTTGCGAGTCAGTAATAGCTGTGATAGGTAGATGAAGTATATATTTCACGAGGAGATGGATAACAAGAAAGCAAGTAAGCAAGCAAGAAAGGATGATTCACTACATGGTCTCGGCCCAACGCCTTAACTTCAAAAACATTATGAAACATACCAAGATGCAGAGAAACCAATAAAGCGAGGGAAAGGAGAGGACCAAGGCTGGAAGGAAGGGCGAAGCGTGGAAGACCATTAGAGCGCACTCCACACCATAATAACTCCGCCAATCACCGACGACAGAACGAGAGTGGAAGGGATCGTTAACGAGCTGATTGCACCGTTGCTACCGCTACCGCTGCCACGGGTGCTACTAGTAGCAGTGACGGTTGCGGCCGAGCCGACGGTAGCACTCGGTACAGGGAGGTTTCCGCTGTTCTGCTCGAGAGCCGCATTAGAGAGTTTTGCGAAGCCAACTTGTTTGGGACTGTTTTGGAAGACAGAGTATACGTTTTTCTGTCATTAATTAAAGATGAGATGAGCGTGTGACCAAAGAATGGTTAAAGGAGGAACAAAGACGTACGAGGAAAGTATCACCCCAGATCATGGCCGGGGCCGAGCTTCCTGTGTTATCTACAGGGAAGAAAACGGATAAGCACGTATCCTGGCTGACCTGCTGAAGTGTAAAATCCGCAGTAGAGATCGGCCAGGAGACGTTACTTGATCCCCAAGTAACCTCGATCTGCGGGCTCTCGGAACAGGCTGATTATACATCATCGCAACAAAGAGCGGTTGTTAGCGTCACGCTTCTTTTTTTGGAAAGTAAACAACTCACGGAATTGGTAGTAACCGTTATTGAGCTGTTGGCTACCCTGAATGGTGGAGAATATCTCTGTCAGGATGCTCTGAGGCAAGCCAACGCCGGTGGTACCGGTGTCGATCGCAGCCCAGGAGTTCTGACCAGTAGGTAGGGTGACAGAGTTGCCGTTCACCTTTAAAGCTGCGGATTGAAAGGAATAGGTTAAATATAGATTCGCTGGGAACATCAGAGAAAGCGCTTACTTGTTAAAGACTGTATCCAGTAACCAGGAGCTCCCGTCGGGATTGGCTGGAAGTCAATGTTGCCTTGGTACAAGCTAGTGTTGGTGTTACCAATGGTGAAGGTGCCCCCAGCCTCGAGCTGCCCAGCGTTTGTGTTGTTTGAGAATCGGGTAAGATGAAAGGCAAAGAGGGGCTCGTCGAGAGTACCGGAAGTTTGAGCCAAAGTTTGCCAGAAAGGCACCGCATCGGATGAGGCGATACTTTGGAAAGCAAGACCCATTAAACCAGAAAGGGGGCTTGTAAGCAGGTCAGAGGTCGTTTGGTTGACAACGGCTATAGTCTCTGTCAGAACCTGACTTAATTATACGAGAAACTATGCGTACCGAATGTCTGGTTGAGGCTGAATCCGGCAAACGAAATTTGGTCCTTTCCTAGCCCACCTGCAGCAGCACCAGACCCATAGCGAATCGAGAACGCCGTGTGAAGGTCCACAAATGTTGAAGAAGCTGCACCGGTCGCGGTGGTCAGACAATACAACGAAACCAAACAATTGAGCACTTACTTTCTGGAGAGAAAAGGGCGATCCCCCTTGAACTTGTGCTGCTGGATGTTGAGGTGCTGTCTGTAGCAATCCATAGGTCACTAGAGTATATCAGTCAGCTTTCAAGAATGGACGTAAGCCGGAGACCACTCACGCGGAGCCAGTGTCTAGAATGACGTTAAATGCGACCGGTGGTGTGCCGACTGCCACGGTTCCAAAGTAACTGGAGGAGTTTTCAGCATCAAAGCTTGATTGAATATCATCAATGGTCAGCGACATACCTGGAATCGAACCCGAGGTCGGTGAGTCTGGACGGAGCGAGGTGTCATTGTCAGCATACAACCGCATACAGCTCGGGGCGAGGACTTACTGATTGAATCCGACCGCACGCTTGTTCGTCGACCCGCCCATACCATACTTGAGCTCTGTCGCTTGTTTGTTGTTTCTAAGCCACTGGTCGAGGTCGATGTCTCCATTCCTCAGATAATTTCTGCGTGACATCTGGATTGAGCGGCCAGCACCCTGTTGTCTTCTGGGTGTTGCTGCGGCATATGCATCTGGTAGAGCAAGTGAGAGCACCAGGCTGAGGAGAGCAAGTGGCAACGGATGCAAAGGGGCGACCATGGCGCAGGAAGGCGAGCGAGGACGATGAAGGGGAAAGAGAAAGAGGAGGAGAGAAAGAAAAGAGCAAGGTCCAGGGCCTGCCCGGGGCGATATATAGGAAATGAAGTGAGGAGACAAGAGACGACCTCGCGCTTTGCTGCGGAGCTGTGCCCCCGATGTCTGCGCCGATCCCAAACCCGCGTCGGCCACCGAGCGGCAGACAGCGGCACGTCACGTTACTGGGCGGCGCTTCAAACGGACCTGCCTTTTATGGGCACGCTAACGCCAGTGAGCCGGGCCAAGGTGCTCTGCTTCGCATTATTGTCTTGCTTGGACTAATGCCAAGCGAAGGGCTTGAATAGCAAACCACTTAGCTTTATGTTACAGGACCGCAGCTTCGTGGCGATTCGCGCTACAAAATCCCTCGGAACGCAGCGGAGTCCAGTGCGACATCGGGATATGATATGTCAGCAGGGAAAGTCACCGGTGCAGTTTTGTCAACGCTCTTGGAAAAAGCGAGCCAAAAAAAAAACTCCGTGGTGTCGGCTGCGTAAAACTGCGCAGTGTATGGGACTGTTCTCGACATGATCGGAAACTTTGACATGGGACTCGTGCTGGGCCTCCTGTGTCATAAACCGAGCCCTCGCATCAGGAGGAACCTCTCATGAAGATTAGATGTGATTTGCTATCGCCCTGAGGTAAGGCTAAAATGGGTAACATTATTTATTTCTCTATTCGATACATGGCCGCCTAGCTCAGTTGGTTAGAGCGTGGTGCTAATATGTAAGCATGCTTACGTAATAACGCCAAGGTCGTCAGTTCGATCCTGGCGGTGGCCAGTGTTTTCCCTCCTACAGTAATTTTCCGGGTCGTCTTCAACGTTTGGAACCGATTCAGCCCTGTCGGTGGCCAGATTCTTTTACACGTAGCTGCAGCTCATTGCTTTCTTGATTTTCGCATCTTCACAGTTATCAGCGGCGTGCAAAATTCGGGTTTCAACGTATACGCCAGAAAGCACTAGTTTTCCCGAAACTCTGAGGAATTCCACATGCCCTGGCGCCTGCCTCTGGGAGGTCAACGTATACTATAGTGTACGGCTCAGTGGTATATACAATCGGGGGCATTGTCAAACTGTAAGTTCTTACCCCACTGTGCTTCGATAACTTCTCTCCAACTTGCAGGCGCGCTGAAACTATCGTCTGGCATCATACAAGTCGGGTGGTTTTACTACAGTATCATATTGAGTTGTGGTACGATGAAATATCATTCATGATATCGATATATTCAAGGAATTGTTCATTCTTGTTGGTTGCTGGGACGTCCGATTTGTTATGTGGCACTTCATCCTTTCCGCTGACACGATCGTTGTTACGGGACGCTTTGAAGGCTATATGTTAGTCTTGGGAACATCGAGTCGTCCGCTGTAGGTAAGCTTCAAGAACCATCCGCTTAATATGAGAAACTGACTTTTTTTACCACTATTCAGGCTCATTAAGTGAAAGACTAGGTCTCGAACATTGCTCATATCTGCGAAGTTCGCTGTCCATGTCTTCGTATCGATATACGATCTGGACCGCCCTACCTGGTTACAACCCTGCTCTCTCCTCAACGCCGTCGAAGCTGTCTATGCACTTTGAAGCCTCACTGTCTGTACGCTAATGCACTAACCCACAAACAATCTTAACACTAATTGGAACACGATTATAAAGGTCTTGCATAGGTTCGCTGCGCTGGGGAGTATCATCTTCGCTGATCCTGCAATGCCCTTAGTCGAAATAGAGGTCGCAGCAAACATGGTGCGCAATCAACTTAGCGTGCTAGGCGGGCAGTTAAGCGCAGAAGTGTTACCTTCCCTTCCCCATTCGATATCTTAGTCCTGTTAGTGATTCGGCGAGAAGAGTGGTCACTGGGAATTGATTGGCTTTGGCTTTGGAGGCGGGGTATTGATTCGGTCGGTGGGCTAGAACACATCATTACTGTGTATTTCGCATATATTTATTGTCTAGATGATACAGGCGTTCGCTGAATTTTCTTCGCTGGTTTCAGTCCTCGGGAGTTGTAAAGCGTGCAAAGCGGGTTCGACTTCAAGTTGTGGTTCCCTGAGATCGGTTTGTATTCAGAAGAACAATGACAGGATTCGAGCCGATCCATCAGAATTACGTCGATCGGCATATGTCAGAGCGTCTACTGAGCCGAGCTTCATGTACCCCTTGTGCCGCCGCTCACAGGTTAACCAGAAACCACGATGTCCATTACCCTTCCTCAGGAGTAAGTCGCTTCCCCTCGAGGCTCAGATGTACAGCTACTTACCAGTATGGCAGATACATATACCCTCTCGCGGGGGTTCTGTCTACTTTCTATGTTTTATTCTTTCAGGTGGTGCGCGTCGGTGGCGCTCGCAAAGCAGCAGGTATAAAGTATCCGCAACGTAAGTACCCTCATATTGATATATCCGAGTATCCGCCAGCATTGACTTTTTTTCATAGTATACGCTGAGAAGGCTGAGGCGCAGAGCAACAGAGAAGCAAGGCTGTTCAACTGCGTGCAGCGTACGTACTGTTTACGCCACACTCATGCCTTCCGTAGGTCCGCTGACCATGACTTTTTATAGGTGCCCACCAGAACACGCTCGAGAATCTTCCTACTGCACTCTTTAGCACCCTCGTAGCAGGCCTTGTTTACCCCAGGTTTGCAGGTTGTGCGTGTGCGTTCTGGTCTGTAGCTCGTATCATATACACCATTGGTTACGGAAGCGGCGATCCAGCTGCGGTTAGTACCTTTTTATTAATATTCTTCTGTGAACTCTTTTAACATTGCGTTGTATAGCGCAACCTTCTTGGGGCTAATGTCATGGGCTCCCTCACCCAGTATAGTGAGTGACCATATTACCTCCGTTTGGGAACAAGACCGACCTTCTGTCCTCAGCCCTTTTGTTAACCGCAACCTGGTCTCTTGTGAAGCTTGCCATTGCCTAGTTTTTGCTACTTTCTTACTTACTGTCAGATATTACGCGTCAGCTTTGTCTATTTTTTGTTGCTTGGGTAACTGAAGTTCTGTGAGAATATCCGTCTGCCCATTGTCCTTCAGGTTTACATAATGAGTTCGGATTGAGACCAAGAATGATGGGAATGTAAAGGTGATCTGAGCAAACCGAACCGGTTAGATGGACCGGCATACTTCGAGGATCCCATTAGACGCCAATTAGTACTGGAACTGGAGGCCATCGAAAGGGTCACGATCATGTCTTCTCCTCCCGCATTCTCCCACTCGCTCTCCATCCTCAGCATCTCTCCTCAGGACCACCACGACCACCCTGGAAGGTCTCCAGATTATTACCGACCACCATGGCCTTGCGACCGTCGTTACCGGCAACCTCGTCTGACTTTGCCCTACACTCGTCGTCCACCTCGTCCTCGACGTCGAACGCAGACGAGTTTAACCCTCTCCTGATGCGTTTCAGGAGGCCAAGTCTACTCGCACCCCCACGAGCCTCATTCTACTCTGAAAGCAGAATACACAGCCCACTCGTAGATTCCTCTTTTACTATCCCAATGTCCAGGCGATACACGACGAGCAGTACAGCCAGCGGCGAAGAATCTGAGAGCGACAAGGAGAAAATGTGGACGGACAGTCCTTCATCTGGCAGCTCTGGCGCGAATACGCCGTCTCTGGCCGCGCCTATAGCATTCACGGATAAGGACAAATCAAACTCGAGTCTCGATAGCGATACCAGCATGAAGTCTATTCAGAGCGATCCAATAAGCAGTCCTGGGACCGTTGGAAGCGTGAAGACCGCAAGGCCTCGTAGTCCATCTCCCCCATCCCGTGTTCCCATAGCAGACCGAGATGCTGCTGTCCCTGAAACTCCACCGCCAAAGGCACGAAGACGAATGTCCCATCCAGTGAGTTCTGTATCACCATATATTTCTGGGACGATTTTCACAAATATTTGACTCAGATTAGGAACCCGCGAATACTCAATCTGCTCGCTGACTCCCATCCTGAAGATAGCGAGGTCAAGTCTGAAGCCCAGTTTCAACGATTTGTAGCCTCTTTCTCTGAATCTCCTCCGCAACATAAAATACCTCGCGCACCCTCCGACCGCGGCCGCTATCCTGAAGAAGCCGGTCTGGAGGAGCCAACCCGAGAAGATACCTCGAGCGATGACGAGGATGAGTTCGGGTTCTCTCAGCCATTTTCATACACCGGCACTAGTGAACCCATCAACATCTCCAAGACGATCACACCTGCGCATAGTGTATACGGAGATGACACGGGGATGTCAGAGAGCCCAGGATACACTGCGATGGACATCGACATGGTAAGCTAAATAATGATGACACTCGAGGAGGTTGCTGATGTGTTCGTCCTACCAGCAACCAGCATCAGTATGCGGCTCGCCGAAGCTTAACACGAGTTCGTGGCGCTACACACCGCCTCCCACCTCTAGCAGCGCAGTCAGAAGCGCAAAGCGGAAGTGTACGTATCCATAATTCAATTACTACTGCGTAGAATTGAATATCCCGTCCCACAGTGGAAGACCGTTACGACCCATACCCGTCTGCGAAACGACGCGCCGTCTCGCCGTCTGTATCATACCTGCGGGAAACGCTGAACCATACGCCGAGAACCCCTGGCAACGGCGGACGTATCACTATTCCACTCCCGCATCCCATCGCTATTCCTGTCGGACCGAGCTCCTCTACCTCTTCGCCGGTTGTCACGCCTTCTGCAGTCAATGGCCCTCGTTCGATGAGCTGGACGGCGCAGAGTGTTTTATCGAGTCCAACACTACGAGCTCAGATGGGTCTGGCTAGCCCTGTTCTTCGACCGATGATGAGACGAAGAGAGGAAGGCAGGGAGGTTGAAGGTGCAGGTGACGGTGTAAACGGCCTAAGCCTGGAGTAGAGGGGCTTGCACACTGGCCGTCCTTCCGCTGGAGGCATGCCTCTAGCAGGCTGTTGTTGTTCCCATGCATTCCGACTGTGATCGTCACCATCGTCTCGATCCGCGACATCCGACGCTCTTTATTTGATATCTGGTCAAGCATTCGATTCCTTACTCATAACAAGTTTGTATCATTAGACATTGCATCATGACGTGGAAATCGGTTGTATTATGTGGCATCTTCCCGTTTCAACTAACCATACTCTATCCTTCAGGCTTCGTTCTCTCTCAGTCTTATTTGTGGATTTGTAGATTGCATTTATCACTACGTAGTACAGCACTCGTGCTCTAGTAGACCAGAAGCTAGGTATCTGAGTGCGCTCAGCTTCCGCGGTAGGTCGTGTACGAATATGGGCTTATGAGTAGAGGAATATGATAATGTTCTGTGGGGTTCTCTACTTCGAAAATGATCTAATCGTCGTGTGGATGAGAGGAGAAATCGTTGACTCAGATAACGAAATGCAAGCGTACCTCTACGACAGGATAAAAACATTTTCGTTCCGTCTCTTGGAAATACTCCTTCACCCAGAAGATCATCTTGTACTGACGACCAGCCACAAGCTTTGCGCTCTCGATCTTGACTGCGTCCTCTGCTGCTTCAGGCCAGAGTTGCATACAACGTCCGTCGGTATTAGTCAGACTAAGTACACGAACGGATGTGATCAGTCATTTTGCTACCCTAGACGAGATAGAACACACCCTGATGCAAGAAGAACAGGGGCTGTTGTTGTCTCCGAGGAGATAAACTCGTATAACCCGACTTTGACACCTGCTGCCGGTTTGCCAATCGAAGAATCGAGCACTGTTCAGAGTTTGTTATACGTTGATAAATGACAGACGAACAAGAAGCGGTTACCATGGCATGTTACAGGAGACTTTTCAGGAATCGTTG